CAGGGAAATATCAAAGTAGGAATACAGCAAAGGAAATACAGTGCAATCAAAGAGTTAATCTTGACTAATCCAGCTTTAGTCACAATAATCTATACTTTGATGATGTCCTTTGAAATGGACAAGACATTTTTAAGCCATATTTATATTTATATGTTATATATATAATAATTCCCAGTATGTGTAGTGAAACTCCACAAGATTTATATCACCTGGTAATGAAGTGATGTGTGAAAATAACATGAAATATCTTGATGTAATTATCTGGTTGATTGTACAGGCACAGCAATATTGCATTACAAGCATTTCTTACTTCATTAGAGATTAATTCTCTCTAATTCACTCCTCACTACTCACTATCTAGGGAGTTCTCTGTATAGAAGACTATATAGTGAGCTCATCTGCGAAAATTAAAAAAACACTTTCAGACACAACTCAGGTCATTTTCCCTGTGCCGATTTTCTTTCTTTCAGCACTAGCACAATCCATGACGTATTGCTTGGTTAGTGACCATTGGTTGTACACTAATTTTCACAACGCATTGTAGCATACTGAGTCCACTATATAGGGTATAGTAATTGTCTCTATACATTCGGACAGCATTACAAAACGGCAAATTCGCTATAGTGGCCTATATAGGGAGTAGTGAGTGATTTTGGCCACAGCCAGTGACTTCAACTGTAGGGCTTCTCTATAGAAACGAATTTAGCTGATGTTAAACCTATTCCCCAATAATTATTTTTCTAATACTACTACTTTCAACCAATAGTTTCTTTTGCCAAATACATTTTGATGAAAAAGTAATTGTTGCCTAATACGTTGAATGGGAATGTTTTCTCTAGCGAATGAAGCGCTATGTTCTCGGCAAGGTAGAACAGGTGTAAGACTTTGACACCAGAGAGCGCAGCATACTAAATCCTGATTGTCTTTATGTTTTGGTTAAGGTTAAAGAAAGACTGTGGTTTCATTCAAATATCACAGTTGACTTTTGCAGTTTGTCAAAAAATCAAAAAGCTTTCTTGAGCTTCATGTTCAGGTTTGAATTTTTCATCTTGAATTTTGGTGGCTTACTTTGACTGATCTTGTTTTAGCGCCCTCATGTTTTTCACCCAACTCAAACTTTTAAATCAGAATTTGACTGAACCTGAGCAACTTAATATTTTGAATAGTGGACACATAAAACACATACACTCACACACACACACACACACACACACACACACACACACACACACACATACAAATTAAAATTGACAATTAAACTTACGAACTTGGGGAATTCGAACCACATTACAACAAAGGTTTTCAAAATAAAATATTTCAGTGGCTCAGTGGTGGTTACATTTTGCAATATGGTTGCTCATAAAATTCAGATTATAAATATCATTAATGCTGCAGGGTTTGGAAGCTATCATTTGCTTCCATACCCTGCAGTATTTGTCAGTATCATTATTACATTATCCCTTATAGTCACAGGTTATTAAACCCATTTATTTTGTTTTTATCAGACCATTACTATATTATCAGTTGTTACACACTTGCACTCTATAATGAAAACAGGTGTTAGTGATGTCTAGCCTTTATAGATACGGTGTGCCAAATGCAAATGAAGCAGTATCTCACTGCAGGGAGCCATAGAGAACAAAACTCAGGAGAATGCAATTAAACAGGTTTAAAATATATCACTGTTTTATATTCTGAACAGTTCCTTCTGTTCCTTCTTTCTCCTAGAGAAACATTAAGTCTACATTTTGAATGGCGAGCTTATATGCTACTGAACGTCATATGGCTGTAAAGATTTCACAATCATTGATTAGACCGTGGTTTTCCATCCAGCTGCAAATCACAACTCAAGGTAACAGGACAATGCATGTTTTAAAAAAAAATCAGCAGAGAGAGTAGAATAAGATCCTCATACGAGCATTTGGTGAACACTGTTATGCACACTCCTATTGCAGATTACCTTACTCCATGAGGGGCGGAGTGTATATTAAACATGGGTGCCCTCTAAACTGGATCCGTCCACCTCCCCATTAGTGCCAAGCAGATAGCAGTGATGATGCATTTAAAATGTTTCTCTTCCATTCCCCGTCCAAGTCGTTTTTCTCCGGTGGATGATGGCTTATCAAAGGGAGACGAGACAGGTAATAGAAATAGACTTGTATGTCAGGGTGACCCATGACAGCGACTAAACGTAGCAACTATTTAACGGCCATCAAAAAAAATCCCTCTAAATATGAGGAAAAGTAAATTACAGTAAAATAAGTAAAACTTTTCCATTTCTGAGTGACACACTATTAACACAGAGGAGGTCAAATCAAATCAGAGCCGATCAAATTAAAAGTAGCATGTCAAGACAGAAATACCATGCTGGGCATCCACAAAGCAATAAATTGGCTGGATGATTGGCTATTAAAAAGTATGCGAAATTAGCTTTCATTGCATAACATCTATCCCAGCATGAACCTTTCAGCATAATGGATGAGGCGAAGGTGAAAACTGAAGGAGAGAAAAGGAAAGATTTACGGAAGGGCTCAGTGGCCATTTTAATTTTCTTTTGAATGTTTATCCTCTTTCATTCATTTGTAAAAAGAGAGTGAGGATTTTAATACAGACATGTTTACTCACACTCAGGCTGAATAAGGTATAAAACTAAGAAATGGAATATGAAGGTCTTTGCCTTGGATTTTATTATTAAATGTACCAAACTCCAGATCTAATAAGCATTTAAAACTAAAGTATCAGAGGGTCTGTTTGACAGATTTTCACAGGATCATAAGCTCACCCTGCATTCGGGCTACACAGCTAACAATGGCTGACACAGAAGTGTGTAGTACACAGATGATAATGATGTTGTGAATATAGAGATCAAAGTCTTCTCGCTCTGGTGATTAAGCGTCCTAACAAATGCATGTATGAGGACAGCCTTATCACCTAGGACCACACAGAGGCCTTTTCCATATCTGTCGCTCTCAGATGGCCAACCTGCGCCTGCCATGCACCACGCTGCCAAATAAAAACACCACAGGCATCGCCTCTGTGGCCAGCCTGGCCTGTTCATTTGCCTGATGAAAGAAATCATTCAGAGTCTCTCAATTTAGCAAAAAGAAAACATTTTCAATGCCTTATCACTTCAGGACAACTAGGCGGTAATTAAATGTAGCAAAGAAAGGACATAAGTCTGGAGAATTTGTTTGGCTTGTTAAAACTTCACAGCTATTGTGAATTTGTTTACCTTGGCTCTAAAGTTGAGCCTGAGGCACACACAGTGCATCTTTTTTTGGTAGGTGGGAAAATTATCTTCATTAGTAAACAACTGGAAAAAGAAAATAGGCGTGGGATAGCTTTATGTAAACATTAATATGTTTCATTTTGAAATTGCCTCTGTGATTTTCACACTGCCTAAGCAGAAAACTCTCCTATTCAGCGTACCGCTTGATTTCCTTTTCACACAGGTTGACAAATTGGCTTGACCCCTTGTTACAGCATATCCAAAGGTTTATAATTGTTCCAAACCGGTGTGATTAAGATCAGCTTCAGTCATTACACTAATGGACATGCATTTTAATTAATGACATCCTCATTTGCATCACATGTAAATTATCTAAATCATTTTGTCTCGTCTGTTCGCTGTAATTAGTACCTATCAACAGCTTCACTGAGTCAGGCTATATCCCAGAGATAACCCAGCTCTTTTTATATTTCACTGTGGAGGAAACGCTTGGTTACCTGACTGAAGCTACTGCATGAGAGTTAAGGTGGCAAGAATTAAATAAAAAAAAATAAAAAAAAAACACAACACAAATTTATGATGTATTTACTGAAGTTAAGTCTAAATTTTACAGAGCACATCATCTACTAAACCCCATAAAGATTGAACTCGTATGCACTGCAAATACTGTAATGTGTATCACAAGCCAAGTATTGTGTTGTTGGATCTAGTCACACATTCTGATAACTGTCACTTCACAGCCAGGTTTGAGATGGTGCAACACAGTGACAACAAATCTTAAAGGAATAGTTCACCGTTTTTGTAAAATGGACGTTTAGCTCATTTGCCGTCTTGTTGAGAGTTAGATTAGAAGACTGACACCACTTTCAGAACAAATATGTCATAAATATGTGGGTGGAGCCAGCGACCAGTTAGCTTAGCACGGAGACTGGAAACAGATAGAAACAGCTAACCTGCCTCTGTCCTAATGTCACAAAATTAACCCGCCAGCCTCTCTATGGCTAAAATAAACAATATCTTGTTTGTTTAATCGTTCTTTTTCTTCGAGCTGGTCTGTGTTACATGACTCATTCTTTATTCTCTTATTCCCCCTGTCATAATACAAGCGATAATAATAATAATCATGTGTCCAATATGAAAACACAAGCCTTCACACACTGGCTGTGTGATGTGTGTTTCCTCTAACTCTCTCTCTCTGCCATTGATCACTCATTTTGAAAGACCAGTGCTGCCAATCATACAGTAAAGCTGTCATCATTAGCCTGTGTTTATATTAACGCTGTCAGGCAACTTCTCAATCAATATTGATTTAATCAATGGTGCCCGTACTGTTCATCTTAGTTAACAGGGAGCATTTATGAGCAAAGTTTAAATCATTATTTTATACTCATTCAGTTAAAATGAATGAAAAAAAATATGTTGATGAGAACAACTAAATTCTATTTTTATCTTTTGTTATAATGAAACACAATGTAAGTGACAGTGCAGAGCAGGAAAGGACAGAACAGAGGTTTAACCTGCTGAGACCAAGCAGAGTAATAAGTCTGTGTTTGTTCACTCTGATGCCAGCTTAGAGTTTGCTAGTAGAGGGACGAGGAAGAACAAGAGGTTTGACCACTTTCCATTTGTTTTAGTGTCTCAGTTTGGACAATGTTTTAAACCTCAGTGTGGCCATTGCCTTAAAAAAGAATAAAATGACAAAATAATGTGCAAGTCAGCAGACAGTCTGCAGCCAGACACTTCAATGGAACAAAAAGAAACACATTCTTACCTGAGAGTAAACATCTCCACGGGGGAGTAGGCTGAAACCGTGATAAAAGCAGAGACGGTTTCCCTCTGTCGCATGGGTGTAGCTGGAACCATGACCATGAAGTTATTATCCAGCCTGTGTTCAGCGAGAGGAGGAGGGTTGGGGTTCTGGTAGAGCCTCACACCACCGATCCTCCTGAGCGGCGTGGAGGTGAAGGAACCAAACAGCCCTTCCTGGCTCGAGCGGATGAAGCTGTCCTTCCTGGCCTCCTCTGAGTGGCACTCTCCTGCTTCTGTGGACTGCAGCATGTAGTAGAGCTCCACCGGGGTGCCCTCAGACACTTCCAGGTTCCTCTGGCGTCCTGGCACCACGCTGGGCGGGCTGAACCAGCCCGCCAGTGGCTCCAGCTCGGCCACACACAGCCCCAGCTCCCCTTTCAGCTGGCAAGTGCCACGCACCTCCTGGGTCTCATGGAAAGCAAACATGTGCACGCAGGGCAGCTTGTCGATGGCGCTGTAGTCGTCCCAGTCCCGGCCTGCGATATAGAACAGAACCTGGACTTTGGGCTTGGCCAGGTGAATCCTGGTATTCATGATAAAAGTCTGCACTTTCCAGTTGAAGGTAAAAACAGAAGAGGCAGGGAAAGTCCCTGGGCTCTGTAGGAGCTCTAAAGGGACAGGCTGCTCCACAGAGAGAGGTCCATAGCTACCATTCACCATGGGCAAACTTCTAGCCTGGTAGATGAAGAAGGGCTCAGTCCGCGACATCAGGCTAGAGTTCCTCATGAAATCCTGATTGGCTTCCTTCAGGAAGAACGCCAAGTCAGCGTTGAGCAGCTGATAGTTGACAGGCAGGTATGTGGGGATGGAGGAATATCTCTGCAAGCCCTCTAAGACTCGACAGTCGGCTACTACAAGACAGAGGAGAGGAGAAGAGTCAGTCTTTGAGGAAGCAGTAAAAATAAGCGTAATTAAACATTTACTCTTTTTGTTCAACAGTACTGTGTTCTATTTATAATGGGACAGCACGTACTGTATACATACTTATTCAGTTGTACCTATTGTATTTGACAATAGACATTACTGTAGGTCGTGAGAATGGTGAAGGTGAAATGAGTGTGAGTGAGTTGTGAGCTGTGAGGCAGTGACATTCTATAAAAACAAGAAGAGAATCCATGAATCCAAACAGCTTTTTATTAGTTTTATCGGTTAGCTGATTATGCCTGGAGCCCCTTCATCACGAAAATAACCATCAAATTGATCGACAAGGTTTGTTAGTTTGTGGTAACTTGATTAAACTTTATTGGGGAATACGAACCATGTGAGCAAAATACAAATTTAAAAAAATAAATGTCTTAGAACCAGGTTTTTACACACAGGGTCCCTCTGAAAGATGTGGTCATATGATTAGATGAGAAATTTGCAGTTAATCAAATCACCAATATCCACTGAAATGCAATGAAAGTGGGCCTTTTGGTAATCCAGTCTTAGTAGTGACTGAAATGTGTCCACACAAGTATCAAAAAGTATTGAAAGTTAGAATTGAATGACTGATGAGATCCATAATGTTGTTTACTTGTTCTTTGAACAAACTGTTCCTGAGTGATATCCTAACTTTGCCAATTTTATTTCATTTGGGCAAAGTTCCTGTATGTCTGCTTGTGTTTATGCAACATTTAACAATTGAGAACATTCGCTTCTCTTGATGAATTAAATAAGTTTCAGGAGAGAAAAATTTCTATCTGTCTAAATATAAGGTACAAAAGTAAGTGTTGTTTTGCAATCAATACCATTTTGGTTTCGGTTCCAACACTCAAATCATTTTTAACAATGCTCAGTTCTCGTCTGAGTGAGCCTCCAGCTCTGCCTAACGTATTCCCCTGACACCCAACTATTAGGAAATTCTGAAAGTATCTGTAAAAGCTTCCAACACAAGGAGGAGATGTTATCAATCATTTTCAGACACCCAGACAACAGGTATGGCAGCTTTTCATGCTACTAAAAACATAATCAGAATTATAATTAAGCCCTCAATGAGCAATTTCTGCCCTCCAATGTTAAAAAAACAAGTTTGCAGTGCAGACTCCCTTATTATCACCTATGGCCCCACTGGTTGAGGAACAGCACAGAACACATAAAAAAAGGTTTTAATCACAATAAGAGTGAGCTGTAACCTTCTTCTTGAGAGCAATCTGCTGTGTGATTACACTCCCTCAACACACTCCCATCTTTATGCTGGATGCCAGAGGATTTCTTTCCTCTCATCGCCTGTGTAAATCATCATCCCAACAGTTTACAAATCAGTCGTGAATTTCTGATTCATGATGCTCCTCTTGACCTCTGTGCTGCTGTCCCACTGAGGGACACAAGGGCGCAGGCAGGCTCCAACTGTCAACCCAGGTGCAGCACCAGTCCTACTTAAAGCATCAGTTAGCTGGCGCTGAGTAAACACCTGGGTACAGACTTTCTCCTTCTGAGCAGCAGAGCACCACAGAGCAATTTGTATTTTCCCTGAACAAGCAGGAGCTTTGAGTTATTTGTTGGCAAGAGGCATTGTTGTATACGTGGCTGCTCTAAAATGAAAAGCTTGATAGTCCAGCAAGACAGAACAGTCAGAAACAAAGTCATCCTCTGGCCCCTGTGTAGTAATGTTACTCTCACTCTCATGTCTGAGCCCTCGTGTCTCAGGTAAAGTGAAAGCAAAAAGCTCACTCCAGAGGACTGAGTGCCTCACGCTGTGTGCTGAAATGTGATTTATTGTCTTCACAGCTGCTTATACACACAAGCTGGAAAATATGAGATTACATACAGTGGCGTCCGAAAGTCTTTCCCATTGGGAAAGGGGTCACTGCTCACTCCTCATCAATAAACCATGAAAAAAAGCATTATAAATGATAAATACTGTCAATTGGATCCACCATTGTTATATTTAACCGACTTATAGACTTTCCATTTTGCAGCAACAAGAGGCTACTGGATTTTTTTGGAATAAAAATTATTACATTTTAGAGCAAAATACATCTTAAATCTACAGAGATGAAAAGATCCACTGTTCGGCAAATGAATATTTGTTAAATCTCTGCAAGGCTGCTCTTTTTCTATTTGATACCAGCAAACTAGAAAAAAACACAAGACACAGACAAAATGAATGAATCTCTCACTATTTACAATTACAAGTGCAACACAAGACTGAGAAGAAAAGCTTCTGAACAAAAACATGCGAAGAAAGATCTTGTTAAAAAGATGGACTGAGCATAGGTATCAAAGAAGTTATTTGAATTCCATTTAATGCAAAGCAATGAGGCACAGCTTGTGTACAAACAAAATCTAAAAGTGCAGTCATCTCTTAATAAAATGAGAAGGTAGTCTTGTGGAAAAGAGGAAATGGAACAGAAAATGGAAAATCCAATACAAATTAGTATCTCGGTATGTCTGCACCCAACTGTTACTGTGTCAAATAGTAGAACATAAAGTACATATAATAATTACTGATATTTAGATTCAGAAATGGCCAATGATTTGGCTCAACTATAACTTAAACTTTCCTAATGCATGGATCTAAAAGCCTGTGGCTTTGCAGAGGGTTTACTGTGTGCTTGCCCCAAAACAACTGAGTCTTTACTGTAGGACCAGTGTCTGAAAACTGACACTGAATTTATAAACTGGAAAATAATCCTATCTCAAGCCAAATAAAGCCTGGAACTCTCCAAACCCAAATCCAACACAATCAGAATCAGCAAGCCTGTGTTATGGATTGGTATTAAATCGTACAAAGCTTTTTGAAGATGAATCACTCCCTCCTTTGTTCTAGTAAGAGGAAATTTAAAAAATACAATATACAAACCTACTTTTCAACCACCAGTAGCTCTGTGTTTTTCTGTGCAGCAGGGGTGTAGCTCAGATATCTGGACCCCCCAAGAGAATATTGCTCGAGGCATGCCTGTTTAATAAAATCATTCCTTTGGAATCTGTGTGGGCCCTCTCCAACTGTGGCCCCCGCAACTGTCACCAACTTTTGGCCCGCTAGCAATTTCACTGCTTTGCAACAGGGATTGGACTTGATACAACAAACATTCACAACTTTTCAGGTAGATCCAGTGGGGCACACAATTGTCCCAGGACACTAAAGTCTGCCGAATTTACTCCAGGTATAGAGCCTATAGGGCCAGCTATCAATTCACACTGGAAACAGTATGGATTGTAGCACAATAACAATAATGTGCTGCAGAGTTTTCTGTATGAAAAGAAAAATTTTACATTTTTGGATGCCTCTAGAAACATAAGCCAACTTTCATGGATCATCTGGCTTTGTTCATCCAGTAAGGACTGGACTTCTGTATGAGTTGTGTGCAGTCATGGAGGCTAACATTAAACTAGCTGTTGATAGTCAGTAAACACCTCCAAAATGGCTGCTTGTTAAACTACAATGTCTCATTTTCTACATCTGTGTGTTAAATACAGAATGTGACAGAGCTGTGCCGAATTACAAAAATCAAGTAAAACAATTACTTTTGCATTAATTACAGTTTCAATGAGTAATCTCCAAAAAATCACTGTATGAGTTGCGTGATACTAGTAACTGGCAATTGCCTTGCCAACTAGTTGTCTTAGCAAAGGACTATCACTAACTGCAGTTGAACTAGTTGTATTAATGAGGAATGTTAAAGGATTGTAACTTTGGGACTCGTGTTAGGGAAGGGGACACATAACCTTCAGCTGGCAGAGAAATACAAAGAAAGAAAAATAATGATAATTCAACTGAGAAAAATGTCTATTTCAGCATACACTTTATGATCCACACCATGTATAATTAACGTTCCCTATTGTGAGGCATTAAATTGTAAAAGGATCGCCAGCAATATGCTGAGCCAGATAAATTCTAATGTCTTAATTTCTTTCTTCATTTCCAATTTTATATAAAGAGGGATTTTTTTTTCTCTCCTCTCTATATGGAAACACTGTCAATGCTGTGCTTTCCTCATGGAACAGCTGCCAGGGCCTCTCGCTGATGAGACCTCGGTGATTGTAGCATATAACAAATACAGAGGATGGGTGCGTCACAAAACGTTAATGGTGAATGGGCATTATGAAAGCAATGTATGTCTGCACACAAATAGTTTTTGTCATTTTTTGACTAGCAGATAGCAGCGTAGCCTTATGGATGGCAATGTCAGTGTGTGGGTCCACGGTAGACTAAACACGGGAGAAAACTGACGACAGCAAAAGATTCAATTGCACTTCTGAGACTCTGTTTACCCATTTTTTATTTTCCATATCACAACGCTGCACAACCGATTCCACTTCCAACCTCACATTACCCTGTGCTCATCAAAGCCAAGTAAGGAGAACTGGTGAGTGTACTTACTTCTAACCACAGTTACACCCACACCCACGCCATTGCAGTGTGCACAAACCAAACACATGAATATGCATGAAGCGTGGATCCTACACACTGGATTGCTTACCATACATGGTACCCAGATGATATTATTGACTATGGCAATCCCCTGACTTTTCCTCTAGCACCACCAGCAGGTTGGCATTTCTTGATTTGAGTCAAATGTCTTAACAACTACTGTTTTTTTTTTTTTTTTTTGGGGGGGGGGGGGGGGCTTTTTTCACCTTTATTCTATAGATACAGTGAAAGAGAGACAGGAAAGTTGTGGTGAGAGAGAGAGGGGATGACATGCAGCAAAGGGCCACAGGTCAGATTCAAACCCATGGCCAGCATTAAGACTTAATGGTACAGATGAGCCCCTTTAACAACTACTGTTGATTTATTTCTTTAATTTTTATACTGACAGTGTTGTCAGCCTCAGGATGAAATATTAAATTTAGGTGATTCCTTAATTTTTCATCCAGCACTAACACTTTGGTTTATAACAAAACACCTGCAAAATTAATATTCCCATCTGCCTCAGTTGTAGCCTACTTTGTATTTAGTACTGATTAGCAAACTTTAACGAGCTAAAACGCTAAACTAAGATACTGAACATAGTATATTATACCTGCTTAACATCCACATGTTAGCATTGTCATTGTCATTTCACCTGTTACTTGCAGTTGTAGGATAGCTGCAGTATAGCCTAAAAAGTATTAAAGTAAGTACGGACTTAACAAGCACAGATTTTAGTTCTGGCTTAACACAGCTCAGTGGACAAGAATCTTAAAGTCTCTGTGAGGAAATGGATTTTCAATCTCTGTCAGCACTAATTTACTCTCTGTGTTATCCACTCTCTAAAGCAGTACACAAGGATACAGCATGTAATAGACATAGAAGATGATTCAGCTCTAATTACTTATAAATATCTGATGCCACTTTTTCATATACAGTCAATTTAAGCTTTTCAGTTTCTGAGGTGACCAGTCAGAAGTTTTTCAGTCAGAAACAGATGTGTAGAGGTGCGCAGGGGGAGAAAGGCAGGTCCCAGATGAGTGCTAACTAGCCAAGCAGCACCCCTCCTGTACCCAGCCTCATATAGGCTCACTCATCCTACCACTGCGGCTATGTAGAGCTGGAATAGGACTGGCGGAGCGAGGAGCAGCTTTCACACTCGCAGAGGCTGAGAAAATGAACAGCCACAATAGAGGACACCAGGGAAGGAGAGGCCTGCTGCCCACTCCTGGCTGTAATAATATGGGTGGACACAGAGGTGAATGGCTGCCTAGGTGGCTCGGTGGTCGGTCGTGTGTCTCTCCGCTTCGTCACACAAGTCAAGACAGACAAGAAATAGGAAACAAGGACGGAAAGCTCAATAGGAAGTAGCAAAAGTAAATGGCGGACAACAATGAACAAAATAACAGAGAAAAGGTGATCTTTCCATGATACCTGGGTTCTCTTAAGCGATTCAATTTTTAATCACTTCTTACAAGGATCACATGGGCTACAAAAGGGTAGGCCAACATTTGTAGCCTAAATGTGTTTAAATGTAAATTTCGAGGAACAGAAAACAGTGAATCATACAGCAAAGCTGACAGAGAAACACTCGTTGTCAAGGTTTACAATTACACTCCCTTTGACCCTCATCCTGACCCCGAATCACTCTGGACTTCGCCATGAATGCCAAGCAGGACAGTCTTAAACATGAGGGATGAGAGAAAGCTCTCTAGTCCCATTGAATTACCCACATCATATTTCTCACCATGTTCAGTTAATAAGGGCTATTGAATTTGTGACCATGCGTCAAGAATAATAAATACAATATTTCCTTCAAGGGTCATTTGCAGATGATTTATGCTTTTGAGCCACCAAGAAATTCAAGAAAGGGGGACTGGAAAAAGAATCAATACATGACACAGTATGGTATTACTTCATGCCAGCCTCTATAGAGGAGAAATCATTCAGGCAGATAGGGGTCTGTGGAATACGCCTAGCTGGTAAGTAAGAGCCATGGAGGAGGGAGGTGGGGCCACAGTACGAAGTTTGGAAACCTTCAAAGGGAACGTGTTGCGCAGGTGACTCTTCTTTATCTTTGAGATGAGTTGAATTCAATGCACAATAATTGTTCTTGATTAAGGGTCTGTTTAAATTAGTGTGTATGCGTGTGCTGGCAGGCTACTGGGGGACCCTGCTGGGGATGTTTGTTGCCTCGTCTCTAATGGATGGCCACATTTAAGACGCTAAGAGCTAATAAAGAGTAATGGGCCTGTGGCTTCACTGGGGAGGAGGAAGAGCTATTTTGAGTTCATGAGAGAAAGCATTATCTCGGGGATTAAAGAGTATCGACCGACGAAGAGTAAACACTGCAATGCTGTGCCGCTGGCCTATTTGGTAAAGCTGTGGATGGAAAAGATGAACCCAAATAGGCGCCGCTGTTAGTGGCTGGGAGGGTCAGTGGGGATGTCATTAAGGGATGTTGAGAAAGGACTCCAGGTGCTGCGAGGAGGCCTGATATGTCTGCAACAGTGCTATCGCAGCAGGAGACTGCAGACTGAGTGGCAAGAACCCTGGGCATCCTGAGAACAGCACCTCCTTTGTGCCAACCAGTGCACATGGCTGGAGGGGAAAAGGGCTGAGAGCTTTTGGCTTGGTTTGGGGGGGATGAGACAAGCACATATCTGTGTGCCAATCAGTATTCCCATGGTCCCTCCGGACTTTTCTAAAACATAAACTAGGCTTCTTAATGAATCTCTTCCCCTCACACTGGCCTTTATTGCAAAAAGGTATCGTAAATCAGGCTAAATACAGAGGCATTCGCAGGGCAGAGTCAGGCGGCCTCTTTGTGAGTGCACAGGGACGTTTAATGGTGAGTGAGCTCTGTTAGGATGGAGGAACAAGTGCACACAAATCCAACAAGGACTTATTGGCCACCTACAGAAGAGAGCTCAGTGAGGTTATAAATTATGCAACAATTACACAGCAAAGAGGATTATAGGTTAGGATTACATGACTATTGATAACTATCAGTGTATCATGGAAAAATAGAACTTATTGATACTGCAATTTACTTTTCTGTGTTCTTCAACTCCATCGAAGTTCTCCTCTTTAAGTGTGATCACCAGGAAATTGCGTTAACACTGCACCAAATCGAGCAACCAACGAAAATCAAATTAATAGAATATTCAGCACAAGCAAAGAAGATTGATTATGAAAGGTGACGCCTGTCTGTGATTTTGCAGCTTGACAATGAAGTGCTGTGCTTCTCTGATGAGTGCGAGGAGTGAGAGGCAGCCTCTGATAATGAAAGTGGGTGTAAATCAAGCCAGAACATGTTTTTCCTCCTCCCAGGGTCAAGGCACATCAATAACAAACTTTTACAAATCCAGCAAAGAGTTCAACTACTGTCAACTCAGAAAGTCATACAATAAACTGTTGTTACTTCAAATTTGTTCAAGCCAAAATCGTGAGGCTTTAGAGGGTTTGCTCAGGAGCCGCTGGATGATGGAAGTAAAATCCGTAAGTTAATTAAATCACTTTATATAGTCAGTACAGAGGGAAGATTTTTTCCCAAATCCCTTTATTTATAGAAAGGTGTGAAAAACAGCTAGTAAATGAAAGAGTTCTGTAGCACAGTGTCTCGGCATGCTTAAGTGCCTCCATATCCAACACTGCTCCCTTCCCAAATCTACTGGTAAACCTTTCCCCAAGGTCATCCACATATAGGATGATAAATTCTACCTGGAGCTCTCCTGACAAGGCTGAATTCCTATAAATGCAACCACAGTGCGACGAGATTGTTGGCTACGCATCATTTATGGATCCAGTGTAGACTTTTCTCTCTTCTGATCTTTTCTATGTTGTACAGCACCAGACTTTAGGTTCATTGCTAATGAATAGATGATAATTATGCTGATAATTGACCATGACTGGATAATGCCTTGCAGTACTGTTAGACAATAAATGCTTGCCATGGATGTCTTCATTTCAAACTGAATGGTGCATTCAGATTAATTGCCGAGCAAAATTTAGAGGCAGTGCGAGCACATTCAAAGTGAATAGAAAGATGTGAACAGAGAGAAACAGGTGCAGATTCAGTTGAAAATGTTTCAAGCAAGGAAGAGCAAGGAATTCATAGCAATCCCAGGTTGTACGACACCATCAATGCACACAGCTGCGGAAAAGAACTCATCTGGTGGAAAATAAGAGAAACTATTGAAGAGTTCCTGGTAAGTTATAAAATCGGTCTATCCCAGCTGTCAGTCAAACACATACACAGACACATTTGATGTGTGTTGTTTCAGCTACAGCCAAACTGTCTGTGAACTGTCACACTAAGGGAAAAACGCCATATAATTGTAATGTATCCATACAAATGCAGAAAGACAAACAAGTATACTTCAGTTTGTATCTACATCAGTCCACATCAGACCACGGATGGCTTTGCACCATCTGTCTTGTTGGTTACATTCATGTGCTTGTGAGAAGCTCCATCATCTGAGATTTGACAGTTGGTAGCCAAATAACAGGACGACCAGAATACTACCAATTTGAGTATTTAGGTTCTGACTAATTAGTGTGTACATACTAGATTTGCTTAATTTTTTGACGGTGGTGTTGTCAGAAATTTGTACTCTTTCTCAAGGTCGTGACTCTCCGTCAAATCTGAAAACACAGACATGAGTCACACTTCCCGAGGATATCGTTATCTCCGGTGGTCGTTGTGAACACACGTCCATAAATCTGCTTAGAAATCATAGAAAAGGAGATGTTCCTTATATAGCTTGAGAATCATCACATTTTTAAGTTTTGGTCTTTAACAAAGTAATCCAGTGTAAGTTGTCTCTACATCCAAACAGGAAGTGCTAATAGCTAACTCGCCATACTTTGACGGTGAGTTTGATGAGTGATGGTTGCTGGCCCGCAGACTGATACTTTGGAAACCCCTTCTTTATAGTGCGGATGTGAGAGGAAGCGATCAAGGGCACAAATACTGCTTGTTTTTATGAAGTCAAACCTGAAATACAAACAGAAACCAAACTTGGACATCATAAATATGTGAGCTTGTTAGCATCTTGACTTAAAGGTCACTGTC